AAGAAATCAAGCAACTGCATTTAGAAAGAAAGTAGCTAAGGAACTAAACAGAAAGTTCTAGAAAAGAGGAAAAACAAATAGATAATATTTCAAAAAGTGTTCAGTGTTCAAAATCCTTAACCATTATAGCTCAGGGCCACCTGCTTAGATATGGAACTGCTCATGCAAACTGTGCCTTCCCATTTCAGCTATCAACTTAGAAAATGCTCACAGACATGTCTGTAGGAACTCTGGCATCACACTGACCCTGCCCCCCTGATGATCGGCAGGGTATGCACAGTGTTGTGGCTACATCATCACTATGTCACTTGTTAGGGAATTCAGTTTGCTGTGCAGCTTCCCCTTTTTAGCTCTGCCACCTTCTCTCCCCACCCCTCTTCTCTCTATGTGTTGATCCCTTCTCACCCCTCTTCTTTTCCTCTCCACCAATATACTGCACGTGAGACTGTTGATTCATGGTTTGTGTCTCATTATAGGTAAACTTGAGCAAAGTAACAACAATGACCACTGGCCAATCTCTTCTGGACAATTCTACAGCTAAGTTTCCACCTTCCCAAGTAACTCTAGTTGTGTCATGTTGTCAAAACCTATCCAGCACACTGGGTAATTAAACAAGAATATTGATTTATTTCTCAGAATTCTAGAACCTGAGCAGTCCAATATCAACATGGCATTAACTTGGTAAAGGACTCTTGATATGGCATTATTTCTTGGAGAACAATGCATGAGCAAGAATAAGTTCTGGGAGCAATTGGGCTTGCATGAAAGAGGGAAAGGGACAAAGAGTGAGAGAGAATAACTTTTGTAGTAAAGTTCCCAAAGTAATCCACTGTAGTGATGTCATTAAAGCATTCGTGGGTTGGAATAGGACATTTTGAGGTATTTGCTCCAGAAAAAGTTATCTGCTTCTTAACAACTTTTCCATCCTTGTGTCAATACTAATAAAGTGTATTGAGAGGAATAATGTTAAGCCTCCACATTTAAATGCAGACAACCTTTGTAAGTACTTAACCACTCACTTTATTTTCAGGGTTTTAAAAGTGTTGAGAGTTTTTGTCAACACAAAGTGAATATTATCAAACTAAATGCAGGTGCTTGTAAACTTTAAACAGTGAAATTCCACATGAAAAAAAGCCATATCATTATATAACATGCCCCAGATACACAAGTAAAATACAATTATGGAATTTTATGCCAGAGAATAATATAATTTTCTTCTCTTTTCTTTCTAAAAATAGATTTTCTAATGGTTATGCTTTATCCAGGAACCTGCTGTTATATTTCCAAAGCCATTTTGTTTAAAAAGCTATAATCCAACTTGTGCATAACATTTCCAATGTGGAAACATTATACTACCAAAGTTAACAAAGATAAAAATAATAGATCAAAGCTAACATCCTTGTACATTTCAAACTAACACTGACACATTAAATTTTCCATGCATTTAATGAACAATTAGGCAAAAAACAATGTTGACATCACAGTTCTGAATTCTTAAACAGATTCTGAGAGATATCAAGCAACATATTGTTAAAATAGTATAATCTTTTCATGTTCTCTAAAGGACCTATTTTGGATCACTGTGATTTCTTTTGATTGCTTTTGCCATTTAAACACTTTCATAATGCAGGATGTTCATCTCTACTCATGCTTCAGTAATATTACAAACAATTATATCCATATACATCTCAGTTTTACTACAACTATAATATTCTACAAGAAAAACTTGAGTGGAGCTGGTTGATGCCAGTTAGAAAATACAAGCTCTATTCTGACAGAAGCAGCAGTTCTTGAGAAATATTTATCCTGAAACAGATATGAGTTTACTTGTGGCCACATATGTTGATGATTTTCCAGTCATAGACTTCTTCCAACGCTTCAAGATGAGAAGCTGCCTAAGATCATATTAAGGATGCCTTATAATCTTCAACTATTTTCAGAATTAGAGTTATTAGCACACATCATAATTATTCCATAGCTGGCTCAAATATTTTTAGTAACAGCAAATAACCTGCTGCTTTTTATTTTTTTAATTTTAGAGACCCTGTTATTTACATATCCATCCCCCCATTCCCTCACCCTCCCATCCTCCCATGCCTCCTACTGACCCCCCTCCCGTCCCCAAACCTGCCCACTCCCCAGGGACAGTGAGACCCTCCAGTGGGGATCATCAAAGTCCATCACATAATTTGGGGGAGGGCCCAGGCCCTCCTTTCCATATCTGGGCTGCAATAGTATCCCTTCTGTGCTGCAATAATATCCCTCCTGTTTTTAAAGAAAATGTTGTAAAAGTTTCTAGTTACATTTTCTGCTGTTGTCAAACTCTTTTTCTGTTTTTTAAGGCAGGATCTTCTAAAGTCAGACTCTTCATTCCCGATCAGTAACCACCAAAGAGTGACACTTGACTCATGGGCTCACAATGACTCAGTGAGTATATATATATAGTGATGTGTTATACCCACCAAGGACTATTTTCTCAAGTAAAGGAAAGTCAACTACAAACCAGAATCCCTTTTGTCCTACCATGCTGGATGAAGGACAGAAAGAAAGAAGCTTGTGTATGTGTGACAAGTGGTAAACATAATGGTTTTCAACATCATGATAGCGACTGTGGCAGTCAAAGCCTCCCTGCTGGATGCTTGTACATGTCCTTGGATAGTAGATGACCTTTCACGATGTCAGTTCAAGAAACTCTTTCTTAGGCCATTTGAAGTAGTAGCAGATTCTGAAAGACACCCTCAATGTTGAAATGATCCTGACCTCTTCATTATTCATCTTGTCTAACTAGGTCTACTCTATGAATTTCAGAAATGGGTTTCCAATGTCCACCATCCACAAGTCCATGTATTCATTTGGGTGTATACCACCCATATTCTGAGCCTTACTGAAATGGGCAAGCACAAGAATCTTGGGAGTATTGCTCTCATACAGATCATTTTAAGGTAGACTTCTTACTCTATTTTTACTGATATTAAAAGACCACCCCTGTGTTTACTTTTTATAAAAAAAAGATCCTCTCAGTTTCCTTTGAAGTAGGTGACATAAAGAAAGAACAGCTGACTGGTTGAATTCACCCGAATCTGGAGATTTTAGCTGTAATTTTACATTATTTTAGCTGCCTAAGATGTTTATATAATTTTAGGACTCATCTGTCTAGCTCTTACATCTCTGATGGATACACTTTACATGAAAAAAAATCTATGAAAGATGAGATGAAGATACGATGTATTTATGTAAAGAGCCTGTTAACTATTTTAAGCAAATTATTTTAAATTAATTTTACTTAAATTAAAAACAATCTTATTTTACATACCAATCCCAGTTCACTTTCCCTCCTGTCCTCCCATTCCCCCCACCAACCAACATCCTGCTCCCATCCACTTCTCAGGGAGGGTGAGGCCTCCTATGGGGAGTAATCAAAGTCTCTCACATCATTTGAGGCAGGACCAAGGCCATTCCTCATATATCTAGGCTGAGAAAGAATCCCTCCCTAGGAAATGGGCTGCCAAAGCCCATTTGTACACTAGGGATACATCATGGTTCCACTGCCAGAGGATCCATAGATTGACCAGGCCTCAAAACTGACACTCATATTCAGGGGCTCTTATGATGGTTACCCAGCTGTCAGTCTGAGGTCCCTGAGATGTAACTTGCTCAGGTCAGCTGTTTCTGTGGGTTTCCTCAGCATGGTCTTGACCCCTTTGCTCATCACCCCTCCCTCTATACAACTGGATTTCAGGAGCTCTGCTCAGTGCTTCGCTGTGAATCTCTGCTTCTGCTTCCATCAGGTACTGAATGAAGGCTCCATGGTGGCATTTGAAGTAGTCATCAATCTCATTATAGGAAAAGGGCATTTAAGGCAGCCTTTGCACTATTGCTTAGATTCTTAGTTGGGGTCATTTTTGTGTATCCCTGGAGATTTTTGTAGTGCCAGATTTCTTCTTAAGCCCATAATGACTCCCTCACTTAAGGTATCTCTTTCCTTGCTTTTCTTCTCTGTTCTTTCCCCAACTCGATCCTACTGAGTTCTGTATTCCATGTTTGTCACTGTTGGCAGAAAGAGACTAAATGTCCTGGTGAAGATCTCTACCTCTGTTGTCACTGCCTTTATTTAAAGAAATGTCCTAGTCATCTGGCTCAAAATGGTTCCTTTTTGTATATATATAGACCATGACTAGGATCAAGTAGGTGCTTATGGGTGAGAAAGATATATTTTATAATTATATATTGTTATCTCCTATAACATATAGATTTCAAATATTTGAGTTGTTCTAAAAGTATATATATATATGTGTGTGTGTGTGTGTGTGTGTGTGTGTGTGTGTGTGCATATGCTGAATTTAGGAAAAAAATCATCATGTAATAAGGATAAAAATATTGTATTTTATGTACCATGTTAACAATAGAAACACAGAGCCTATTTTAGATAAAAGGTAGAGTTTACTGCAAAATGAAGCATTGCTATAAAGCACACTCTAAAAGAGGTGAGAATATACAAAAGTCATTGTGTAGATCATATTCTCAAGGGTTTAGAGTTGACAAAAGCAAAGAACTCACTTACATTTTAGGAAGAATTTATTCTAGTTATTAAGACCCTGAAACACACAACTTTCAGGAGGAATATTGTCCAAGTAATTTTAATGGCCCATTAGGAATAATTTGTATAAAGCAAAACCATGTCCAAAAATTTTGTCCTTTATCAGAATTTTCCTGCTATACAGTAATCTAGTAAAGTTTAAGACTCCTAGAAATAAGTTTAGATAATTATTATTAATGGCCTGTGGTAAATAAAGATTCTGCCCTTCCCCCTGACCAGTTTAGAATCCATCAGTTGCAAGTTTTACTAGTGTCTATCTACCTACAAATGTGAGGAACTTAGACTATAATGTATATGAAATAAAAGAAAAGATGTCTCATTCTTTATTAGCAACATAGTGACAGCAAAATTAGTACTGGAATGGGAGATAGAATTCCAAGGGGATCCTGGAGAGTCTATGGTGATGCTGGCCAGGCGGGTGCTTGGAACTTCATGCAGGGCAGCACTAGGATTGGCGGAGACTGTGCTTGGAGGTTTAAAGTCAATATGGGGTAGCAGCCAACATTTTTACTCTGCTCTTTCTGAGGATATCACTTATAGGGAACTAAAAAACGTATTGTACTCCAAATATATTAGGTTAATTGATGTTAGAGATACATGGGAAATTCTTGAGCACGGAAAAGTACCTGGATCAATCAACGTACCATTAGATGAGGTAGGTGAATATCTACAGGTGCACCCAAGGGACTTCAAAGAGAAGTACCATGAAGTGAAGCAATCCAAATCTGACAGTCTAGTGTTTTCTTGTTTCGTTGGAGTAAGAAGTAAGCAATCCATGGATACAGCATCATCACTAGGCTTTAACAGTGCTCTATACTATACTGGAGACTGGAAAGAATGGGTAACCTATGAAATGTCAGAGAACAAACAAGAAAATTGAGTTTTGGAATAAGATAGTCTGTCCTTGTGTTCATACATTCAATGACAGTGAATGATGTAAAAGAAAACTACAGTCTTGGCATCAAAGGCTATTAGATTCTGTATAACAACAGCTTTGGCAATTGGTTTCCTTGTCTGTGAACCGAAGATACTGCTACCCTGAATATTTTCAGAGTCTATTGAGAACTAAGATATTATGAATTGTCACTGAAATCTACAGATTCTACACTTAATTCTTAAGTAGTTGGTATTCCAAACTATCAGATAGCCTGTATTATCTAATTGAGTAGAATCATGGTAAAAACAAAAATAGTTTGTTAACAAACAGTCCCAATCTTAATAACTAAGCATGGTCTTAGGTGTATACTTGTAGTTCCAATACTCAGGCGATTGAAGCAGACAGATGGCTGTAAGTTTGAGACCAGCATGGACTGCAGAGACCCTGATACATGATCCTAATTAGTCTTAATAATAAAAATCCAGAGTCAGATATCGGGGTTAAAGCTGAAAGATCAGAGAAGTAAAGGACTAGCTGCACAATCATCTCTTACCTTTCTGATTAATCCTGAAAAGGGCCAAGCTCCTGTCTATGCTACATTTTTCACTTCCTCTCTCTGTCCAGCCTTATCATTTTCTGACTCCTGTCTGGGTAGACCTCTATGAGTAGCTAGTAGCTAGTTCCACCCTCTGATTTTCAGGCAAATTTTATTCGTAAGAACTCAAACAAAATATCATAGCAAGCCCCTGTATCAAAAGAAAAGAAAAGAAAGAAAGGAATAGAAAAGAAAAGAAACAAAAAAGAAAAGGATCTGGGGTCCAAAAAAGTAAACTCGGAACAGGTAAACATGTTTACAGCATCTGAAGATTAATTGCAATGTGTGGTGACAATAGTAACAATGTAATTTTAAAAATGAAAGTTGCCGGGCAGTGGTGGCGCAAGCCATTAATACCAGCACTTGGGAGGCAGAGGCAGGCAGATCTCTGTGAGTTTGAGGCCGGGCTGGACCGATAGCCTCCAAAACAATACAGAGAAACCCTGTCTCGTAAAAACCAAAAAAATAAATAAATAAATAAATGAAAGTTATGTGAGGATACAAATTTCCCAAGTTACGACTGTGGAAGGCACCTAACCCAAAAGAGGTCAGGAAATTTTCTAGGATAGTAGAGATGGTCTGTGGCATGACTGAAATGTCAGGTGTGTGAGTCAAAACTTATCAAACACAAAGTTATATGTTCTTACAAGTAATAATACCTCAATTTAAAAACTAATTGAAACAAATATTTATCCTGCCAAAAAATAATTCCAAGGGCATTCAGAAACCTCAATTTTTGTGTATTTTTCATAATTTTCAACAACATTATAATGGTATGGAAAATTTCTATATGTCTGATATCAGTAATTATATGATATTTTTATTTGTTTCAATAAATGTTATTACACTTAAAATCAAAGATTACTACTAAACATTAAATAGTGTAAGTGTTTTTGGAAAACACTTAGTCATTATAAAAATTGTATACCTGGAAGCAATAATGTTCAAGGAAGTAACATCACCTATTTTTCTTTACCTCAGTTGTTGCTGTTTTTCTTTTTTCTTTCTTTCTTTTTTTGTCTTTCTGAGATAGAGTTTATCTGTATTGCTTTGGAGTCTGGCCTGGAACTCGCTCTGTAGACCAGGCTGACCTTGACTTCACAGAGATCTGCCTGCCTCTGCCTCCCGAGTCCTGGGATTAGAGGCGTGCACCACAAACACCCAGCTGATGTTTTTCATACTTGTCTCTGTAAAGGATTGTTAGGTATTATTCAGGAGAGCTGAAAGTGTAATGGGTTTCTTTCCTAACTGTAGTTCTTTCCAACCAGACCCCTGTAATCTACTCACAGTAACTAACTTCTTGTTGATGATTGGGTTGATTTCCCACCTCCCATTTCCCAGTGCTACTGCTTCATCATAGATTATGACAACAAACAAGAACCAAAGCAAAAGAAAATGTAATTAGGTTTGTTGTAAAAGGCCGTCTTTGGACCACCAAAGAACTCGCAAATCAAAACATGGAAAGTATTGTCCGTTATGAATGTTCACAATTATCTTATGATTTCCCCACTGGCTCATATAACTTAATTTAACCAGTTTCTCTTCATCTATGTTTTGACTTGGGGCTTTTTACCTTTCTTTCCTTCTGTATGTCCTACTGAGTGTCAGACTGGTTGGTGGTTGCCTGGATGGATGGCCCCAGGCATCTCCCTCTCTCTCCACAGTTCTCTTCTACTTTCCTCATTCCTAGATACCTCCTCTTATTCACTCTTCCAACCATTCCCAGATGTGCCCCTACTGACTAGCTCTTGACCATTCAGCTTTTTATTATACCAATCAGGTGCTTAAGGTAGGCAGAGCAACACAACATTACATTATTAAACAAATGCATCATAAGTAAATGTAAATATTTTTGCTTGGTTAAACAAATGCAACATAAACAAATTCAACACAATTTTACATAGCTAAATTAATAGAAAGAAATGTAGCACACCCTTAAATAGTTAAAATAATATTCTACATCAGTGTTCATCATGGAGGCTTCTTAAGAGTTCTTATTTCATACGGAACTATTTTTCCTGAATGAAGAGTAGGGAAGTCAATTATAAGTAAACTGGAGTTTACCACTTTATATCTTTTCTTTACAAAAGTGACAATATCATATTATATATATGATAAGTAAGAAAACATTTTCAAAGTAGAATGTAGCTTTCCCTCGAACCTCTAAAGTGTTTGGGATCAGGTAGAATTCTGACATAAATCTAGTAGCAAATTAGGTTTGAAAACCTTTGATTTGATGTAGTTTAGACAGAATGAGGCCTTCCTCTGCTTCTAATTCATTCAGTGTTTACACTTCCTGAGATGACATCCATGCAGGGTAGCATGAAAATGTCATAATCAATAATAAAATATTAACAAGAAAGTAGACATTTTAAAATGAAAGATAAAAAATAATGGAACGAAGCAAACCTGTCAGAAATTCACACTCTGGAAGATAGACTCCGATTTTCTTTTGAGTGAAGAAACAATTTATTTCCTTCAAATCCTGAATTCACCAGTCTTTAGTACTTTTATATATTAAATCCTCAATAATGTGCTTTGCTTTATTGATGAAAAAATTACAAATAATTCTTGGCCAGACTGCATTCTTAACCTTTATAATGGCTGAGAAGTAAACTCTTGCAGAGCAAAAGATACTATTGAGGGGAAAATATTTAAACTAATGTAGTAGGAGATTCTAAACTTTTGACATTGCAACATAATATCATTATCTGCAAAATGTATTGGGCCTTCTTCATAGCTATCATGGAGGGATGTGGTTTTAAGCACCAGGATTGATACAACTGTGTGAATTAATGGTTCCTAACAACTCAACATTTTAATTCTGTATAATAAAAGGCCTACTGATTAATTACAAATAACCTTTTATTCATTTTTCAAAATTATAGTATTTTTACAGGCAACAAAGGAGTGCTGAAACCAGGAGAAATAGTCTTCCCTCAGGAAAGAGAAAACCAAATGGGGCTATCTAATAAAAATTACTTTTCATTGCTTAGCTCAAGAAAACCTGAGATCACCTTCAACTTTTACTTATTTGAAATTTGAAAGATCTTGTTCTTTGTTTAGATATTTTTCTCTAATTACCTTATAATAACTTAATATTTCCAAGTGTAGAAAAACAGAAACCTGTCCCTCTAGAATTTTATAAGTCCAAATGGATCAAAGACCTCAACATAAATCCAGCCACACTGAACCTCTTAGAAGGGAAAGTGGATGGTACCCTTGAACGAATTGGTACAGGAGACAGCTTCCTGAACATAATACCAGTAGCACAGACAGTGAGATCAACAATTAATAAATGGGACCTACTGAAACTGAGAAGCTTCTGTAAGGCAAAGGACACAGTCAGCAAGACAAAAAGGCAGCCCACAGAATGGGAAAAAATATTCATTAATCCCACATCTGACAGAGGGTTGATCTCCAAAATTTACAAAGAACTCAAGAAGCAAGTCTCCAAAACACCAAAGGACCCTATTAAAAAGTGGGCTGCAGAACTAAATAGAGAGTTTTCAATAGAGGAGTCTAAAATGGCTGAGAGGCACTTGAGAAAGTGCTCAACATCCTTAGCCATCCGGGAAATGCAAATCAAAACAACTCTCAGATACCATCTCACCCCTGTCAGAATGGCTAAAATCAAAAACACCAATGACAATTTATGCTGGAGAGGATGTGGTGAAAGGGGGACACTCCTCCATTGCTGGTGGGAGTGCCAACTGGTTCAGCCACTTTGGAAATCAGTGTGGAGATTCCTCAGAAAAATGGGAATAAACCTACCACAAGACCCAGCAACTCCACTCTTAGGCATATATCCAAAAGATGCCCATTCATACAACAAAGATGTATGTTCCACTATGTTCATAGCAGCTTTATTTGTAATTGCCAGAACGTGGAAGCAACCTAGATGTCCCTCACCTGAAGAGTGGATAGAGAAAATGTGGTACATCTACACAATGGAGTACTATTCAGCAGAAAAAAATAATGGAATCATGAGATTCGCAGGCAAATGGATGACACTAGAAGAAACCATCCTGAGTGAGGTAACCCAGTCACAAAAAAGAGAAACATGGCATGTACTCTCTCATATATGGATTTTAGACATAGATCTGGGGAGTGCCAGCCTACAATCCTATGGCCAGAGAGTCTGGGAAACAAACTTTATTTAGTGGCTGATCGAAGAAGAGGCAGACTCCCTTGGTTAAGTACTGAGCTGAACTCAAGAAAGCCAGTAACGGAGAGGGAGGACTGATGATCAAAGGGATTAAGACTGGGCTGATTTAACCCCCAGAAACAGCTGACCAGACAAAGGTTAACTCTTGAATCCCAGGCATTAGCCTGGGAAGCCAGCATGAGACTGATCAAGACCCCCCTGAATCTGGGTGTCAGTGAAGAGGCCTAGGGAATCTATTGA